CCACTCTGTGCCCTGGGAATTGAACTCATGTGAACTGCATCAATGCACTCCTATTCCCTCTGGCTTATCAAGTTGGGTTCTGCTACTGGACCTTCATAGGAGATCAGAGCATATGAAAAGACTGAGATCAGTGCATTGAAGAGGTCTTTTTATCTGACTTTCCTGCCAGGTGCTCTTACATCTTATTCCGTCAGGCCTAGGAATAGTAACTGCTCACTGCTTCAAGACTTAGGTTCTTGCACTATCCTTTCTTATGGTCCCACCACTCATCATACGTATTTTTGTCATGGTCTCTTTGTAAATAAATTCTCTAATTATCCTAATTTAAGTATGCCATCTGTTTCCTATTGGGACCTAAACCGATGTACTGCATAAAGCTGGTTTAAAATTATATGCAGTAGAATGCCAGTTTAGCAAGCCTCCTGCAAAATAAGAAGGGGGCGTAGACTAGTCCAAGAGTAGATATAAATCACATACCTAGAAAAGATTTCTGCCATTACCTCCTGACCAAAACTCAGCATTTTCTGGGAACAAAAGTTCAGTGAGTACTACAGAAAATCAGTTAAGAACACTCATTTCTGCAAAACCCATTAACAACCTGGTCCTAGAATATCAGGTTGGAACTCAGCCTCAGGGTTAAAAAATAAAAATAAAAAATAGGCTGGGTGCAGTGGCTCATACCTGTAATCCCAGCACTTTGGGAGGCCGAGGTGGAGAGATCACCTGAGGTTAGGAGTTCCAGACCAGCCTGGTCAACATGGCAAAACCCTGTCTCTACTAAAAATACAAGAATTAGCCAGGTGTGGTGGTAGGTGCCTGTAGTCCCAGATACGCTGGAGCCTGAGACAGGAGAACTGCTTGAACCTGGGAGGCAGAGGTTGCAGTGAGCTGAGATCTTGTCACTGCGCTCCAGCCTGAGTGAGAGAACAAGACTCCATTTCAAATAATAATAGTAATAACTAATTAATTAAAAATAAAATCCATAAGAAATTTTCTAAAAGAAAAAGAGAAAACAAGCTTTCTCATCTTTTTAAACCAATTGAGAAACAATTCATAGAGGCATCTGGGCCCTGGTATCTTACTTGGCACAGAATCTTGCTAATCCTACCAAGCTCTTTACATAATGGTACAATTTGTGTATTAGTAACTGTGTTATATCAGGAAGGTGAATTGAGAAGAAATCTGATAGGTGGCAAAACTTCATACTTTTCTCCAGCTATGTGTGAGATAGTTCCAGGAATGGACTAATGATGACCCTCTCATGTACGTGCTTGTTTCCTGCAGCTCCCAGTGACAAGGGGAGCATTAGTAGATAATGGTGGTGGACAGTGCCAACTGAGCATAACTTTTGTGAGCACTATAGGTCATAGCAAGGGTGTTCATGCATTCCCAGGAGGTTAGGCATTCTTAGTCACAGTATGACATCAGAGGTTGACAGGACTGGTATCACAACATACAGGTCATAAAGACCCTGTTAACAAAGCAGGATGTGGAAAAGAAGTCAGCCAAAACCCACAAGAATCAAAATGGTGATGAAAGTGACCTTTGGTTGTCCTCATTGCTCATTATATGCTAATTATAATACCATTAGCATGCTGAGAGACACTCCCACCAGTGCCATGAAAGGAGGCTTACAAATACCATAGCAATGTCCAGAAGTTACCTTATATGGTCTAAAAGGAAGACGAGCCCTCACTTCCAGAAGCCCCTCACCTCTTTCCCAGAAAACTGATGAATAATTCACCCCTTGTTTAGCATATGATCAAGAAATAACCATAAAAATAGCCAATCAGCAGACCTGGGAGCTGCTCTGCCTATGGAATAGCCCTTCTTTTGTTTCTTTACTTTTCTAGTAAACCTGCTTTCACTTTACTCTGTGGACTTGCCCCTAATTCTTTCTTGTGCGAGATCCAAGAACCCTGCCTTGGGGTCTGGATTGGGATTCCTTTCCGGTAACAACCCTGCCGACAACATGTGGAAACTCTCTCAACTAAGGGAGACAGAGCTATGGGAACTCCCAGAGTCTAGGGTACTACCAGTTAGCAGTTAGAATGGAAAACTTGGGACAGCCTTCAGAGAATCTAGCTCTGGTGTCTATTGACATTGTGGCCCTGGGGGAATCCTTGCTGCTGTAGCTTGAAGCAAGGACTGAAAGAAAGGAAATGAATCACCCACAACCAAAGGGTAGTATGAGTAAAGAGTGAGGACCTCCAGGCAGAAGTGACCAGAATCGTTTTAAGTGGTTAAGAGTTTTATTTTGAGGGCCGGGCGCGGTGGCTCAAGCCTGTAATCCCAGCACTTTGGGAGCCCGAGGCAGGTGGATCACGAGGTCAAGAGATCGAGACCATCCTGGTCAACATGGTGAAACCCCGTCTCTACTAAAAATACAAAAAATTAGCTGTGCATGGTGGCGCGTGCCTGTAATCCCAGCTACTCAGGAGGCTGAGGCAGGAGAATTGCCTGAACCCAGGAGACAGGTTGCGGTGAGCCGAGATCGCACCATTGCACTCCAGCCTGGGTAACAAGAGCGAAACTCCGTCTCAAAAAAAAAAAAAAAGAGTTTTATTTTGATGATGACATAAAAAGAATTGGTCAGTGGGTACTATACTAGGTACCACTTTGCCAGATTCAAAGTTATGTATACAACTGGTTTTGAACCAGAGTAGAGCTGGGTGGTGTTGTATAGGAACCAGAGAACAATTACCAAAAGTGTGAAGAGGAGAATGGTGACTGAGTATGAGAAGCAGAAGGTTGTCCATAGCCAAGGAAAGCCAAATAGGGGCTGGTTGGAAAGCCAGGGAAGGGAAGAGAAAGGCCTATCATGTGGAAGCCAGCAAACTTGTATCGCAGGCAGAGGCTCTGCACAGCTGGGGATGGCCAGCTCTGAAAGCCCTCAGCCCAGGTAGAGTGAGAAAGGAGCCTAAACCAGAACACAGCCAGATGCTTCACTGCTGAGCTGTAGTTGATATGTTGCCTTGGAAAAGAAAGCTCCCTTCACACAATACCCATATCTCTGCTTGATGTGCCCATCTCCGACAATAACAAATGTCAGCTCTCCATTACACTCACTGTGGGGACACAATGCCAAAGATCCACAAAGACAGGAAGGACCTGCATGGTGGGGTTTTCCTTCAAGCCACACTCAGCTTCTTCCTTCCAGAACTCTTATCTCTCCAAGTTAGAGGTAGCAGTGATTCCAACAGGCAATGGAGTCTTTGTAGAGAAGGTGCTCTCTCTCGTGAGGGATCATGACTCCACCTCCAGTGACCTTTGGAGACCAGGCCCTTCAGTTCTGCTTACAAGCAGAAGTTTCTCTGGGTTTCTAGTATATGGTGAAGGAAATAAAAATATTTTACCCCCAAAATATATTTCTCTAATACATTTTGAGATGGCTGTTCAGAGAGCCAGTAAACAGAAGTAGCCGGCAAAGCTGTCTTTTGTGGGAGAGGTTTTCATCTGTAGAGAATCTGCACTGAAGCAGCCAGGTCTTCTCTTGTCTGGATCTAGGGAAGACTCACTGAGTCTGACACCTTTGAAGGTCTGAAAGACACATTTATCATCTATTCTCTTTGAGGGCTTCTACCTGTGAGGTTTCATTTACATAAGAAAACCTCCTTTGCTAGCCAAGCCTCCTCTTCTCTCCTTTCCATAACCTGTCTGGCATTAAAACCTGATTTACCACCATAATTTGTTTGTGGCCGTGCTCTGAGCCTGCCTTTTTTCTGTAACATCAAGATAGTATATAATCTTCTGTGCCCCATTGGGGGTTGGGTAGTCTCCCTGTGATTCTCCCCATATATATGTTAATACATTTTGTATGCTTTTTTTTTCAATTAGTCTGACTTTTGTGAGTTGATTTTTCAGCAAACCTTCAGAGGGCAAAAGGGAAGATTTCCCTTGGTCCCTACAATGATTAATGCCCTTCATGGACTTCCTATGATGATACCATTTGCTCCTCTTTATACATTCTTTCAATGACCTCAATAGGAGTTTGAGGATAGGAGCACTAGCTTCTTCACCTGCTGATAGCAGGCTCAGGCAATAATGAAAAAAATGGTCAGGGGAGGGGGCTCTTCTAGCAGGGACAGGCTGTCTAAAATTTTTCACTTGGGACTTGCACTGGTATACAACACAGACCGCCCACCAAGGAATTTGAATGGTTTATACCACTGTCCTATCTGGATATCCCTACCCCTCCATGCCAGCCTTACCACCTTTCAAGCAAGAAGTCAGAACATTCACACTTCTAGGGCAGGCAGAAGAGACAGCAGAGCTGGGAGGAACAGGTGGAGAAGTAAGGAACAGCCAAAGAGAGAAACAACCTTTAAGGAGGAGGAAAACTCAGTGATATTCAGTGATGGAGAAAATCAGGTGGCATGACAGATGAGAAGATACTAGATTTGGTAATGAAGAGGTGATGGTTTCTGTATGACAGAACTGTTTATAGGAGAATGATGGAGTGAAAGCTGAATTGCAGGGGTTAAGGAGTTAGAGTGAGCACATATGGATGGCTTTTTGCCTAGAAAGGAAAGAAGAAGCAGATACTGCTTATTGGGCACCTTTTACCAGGTACTGCAAAACTTCATCATCAGTCATCTTCTCCAAATACCATAGGGTTAAGTTACAAGTTTATAAGCAAGGAAACAGCCTGCCAGCAGATGGCAGAATTAGGATTTAAAACCCAGATAGATCTATTATTCCATTCTGCTTTTTACTTTGCTTTGCTTTGCTTTCTTTTCTTTTCTTTTCCCTCCCTCCCTCCCTTTCACTCTCTGTCTCTCTCTATCTCTCTTTCTTTCATTTTTTTTTTTGACATGGTGAGTACAGTGGCACAATCATGGCTCACTGCAGCTTCAACCTCCCCGGGCTCAGGTGATTCTCCCACCTCATCCTCCTGTGTAGCAGAAACTATAGGCACATGCCACCATGCACAGCTAATTTTTGTGTTTTTTTGTAGAGATGGTGTTTTGCCATGTTGCTGGTCTCAAACTCCTGAGCTCAAGCAATCCTCTTGCCTTGGCCTCCCAAAGTGCTGAGATTGCAGGTGTGAGCAACTGTACCTGGTCTCCATTTTGCTTCTAGTTACAGATGTAAGACTGAAATTCCTAAGGGACCATTGCAAAGAGAGTAGAGAAGAGAGAGCATATAACTATGCCTGCGAATTCAAAGAAGCTCTCACAAAGGAGAGGACAGATGAACTACTCTGAAAGTCAAGAGGGAAGGAGTTTGCTAAGTTTATATGTTTCAGGGAGTTAGAAGAGAGACTTCGAGTGTCTCTAGAAGAGGAAAGACATGCTTGAATGAGCCTACTGTGTTGAAAGAACAGTATCATTTTCTGTCATCAGCATGCAGGGAGCCTGTGGATAGATGATGGGAAGAAAGCCTAGAAAGAAGGGCAGAAGTCAGGCCATATAGATCATATGCCATTCTTCCGTAGGCAGTGGAGAACCACTGGAGAATCTAGGCCAGGTAATAACATGAGCAAATGCGTGTTTTAGAAAGATTACCCTAGAGGCAGTGGGGTGGGAGATGAGCTGAAGGCTAATTAGGAAGTAACTGTGGTGGTGCAGGGTAGGACTGATGAGACGGGTGAATGGCATAGGTGTTTGGGAGACAGGATCAACACCAAGTAGAGGAGAAGAGATGTGGAAATCTGGGATGACAGTGAGGTGCCTGCCATGAGGGACTTAGAATGGCTGATAACATTCATCAAAAGAGAGACTCCAGGAGGAACAGCAGACCTGGGAGGAAATGTGAGTTTATTCACCTTTGTGTGCCTCAAGCCTAGCCCAGTGCCCAATACTTAGGAAAACATCAAACCATGCTGATAGGAGTTTGGCTTGGGATATGTTTAATTTGAAGTATATATGTGACATTTAGCTGTAGATATTTAGCCAATCATTAGCTTTGTGGTCCTGAGGCTTAGAACCAAAGTGCAGGCTCCAGATACAACTGTAAAACAAGAGTGCATGGCTTCAGACATGGCCTTCAAGACACTGAGTGTAGGAATAAGAAGAGAACACTAAAGACAGAGCCCTGGAAAATAAGAAACAAGAAAGCACCAAGAGACATCGAGTGTAAGTGTCATTAAAATCAGTAAATGAGTTTCAAGAAAGAGTTAGAAGGATCATGTTGCAGAGATGCCCAGTGAAAGTCTGTGTACATTGGACTTGATAAGTAGGTTTCATTTGCCACTTAGTGAGAACATTGTATTTGAGCAGTGGTGGAGAAAACAAGATTGCAGTGGGCTAAGAAGTGAATGGCAGGTGAGAAAATGGAAGAAGCAAGTAAATCTCACTTTTCTAAGAAACTTGACCATGAAGGAAAATGTTATTACAAAGTTGAGGTAAGATTGATTTTTTATTTGTTTGCTTATTGTAAAAAGGAAAGAAGGGAAGAAAAGAAAAGGAAGGAACAAACAAACTTGAGTACACTTATAGATTGGGGAAGGCTCTAAGGAAGAAGGAGTGATTGAAGACAGGAGAAAAAAGGCCTTGTTGAAGGGAATGTAGAAGAATGGAATTAACAAGATGAGTAAAGAGGCCAGGTGTGGTGCTCACACCTGTAATCCCAGCACTTTGAGAGACCAGGAGTTCCAGACCAGCCTAGGCAACATAGCAAGAGCCCATCTCTAAAAAAAATCTTTTTTAATTAGCCAGGTGTGATGGCATGTGCTTGTAGTCTCAGACACTTGGGAGGCTGAGACAGGATTGCTTGAGCCCAAGAGGTTGAGGCTTTAATAAGTTATGATCATGCCATTGCACTCCAGTCTGGGTGACAGAGTGAGATCCTGCTTCAAAAAAATAAAAAGTAAGAAGATGAGTAAAGAGACCGGCTACGAACTCAGAAAGGTGAGTATTCTGATAAAAGAAAGGAAAAGATAATAATTCAGGCAGATACCAACACATTTAAGTTAGAACATATGGAAAGATAATTTACTGTTTAAACAACATAGCAAGTATAATATGGTATTTATAATATATATAGAAGTAAAATGTAGTCCACAGGCTGGAAGGGGACATATAGAAGTTACTACTATAAGGATCTTACACTACATGTGAAGGGGAATAATATCACTTGAAGGCTAAATCTGATAAGTTAAAAATGTACATTATAAACCCTAAAGTAGCCACTAATAAAACAAAGAGATAAAGAGATAGAGCTAATAATCGAACAAAGGAGGTAAGAATGGAAGCATTTAAAAATATTCAATTAATCTGAAAGCAGGCATAAACATAGGAAAGGTAGAACACAGAATAGATGAGACAAAAACTAACACATAACAAAATATTAGGCTTAAACCATTACATTTAAGTGATCTAAATAGCCCAATTAAAAGGCAGAGACTGGCATATTGGCTATAAAAGCAAGAGAGAGGGGGCTCTTTCAGAGAGAAAGAAAATAGCAAAAGAAGACAAAGACAAAGCAAATTAGAAGGTAATATTATAAGAAATATTCTCATGATAAATGAAGGTGTTAATGACAAAAAATAATCTTCTTAGAAAGGAATCATATTAGATTATATATTAATTAGCAAGGGAGCTGAGGGTAGAAATGGTTAAATGGGTAGATTAAGTGGGATTGGGAATTTGAGAATAGAAGTTTTAAAACACCTGCTACAGGAAAATATGCAGGTGAATCCACCGTGAGAAAGTGCCAGCCAGCGAAGGCTCAGGCAGTCCAGTCTGGGGCCAAAGTTCCACTGCAGTGTTATAAACTGTAATTATTTAACTGGATTCCCTGTGAAGTCTAGGCTTACTTAAAAAGAATTTGGAGTAGGAATTCAACAAGATTATCATGAAGTTAATCTGGTATATGAACGTTATCCCCATTTCTGATAATTAGTTTGAGCGGTAAACAATTCCTGTAAACAAAAATTTTTAACATGACTCAACTCTTCATTTTTGGAGTCAAAAACGAGAAGAAGTGGTATTTAGAAGAAAAGCCACAAAACAGGGTGTGACTTTCCTCCAGGGCTCTCATCTCTGCTGCCCCTTCCCCAGCTGGACCCAAATTTAGGACAAGATGCTTCCCTGCCAAACCCTCCTCAGAACCCTGGGACCAATCAAGCCATATAGCTCAGGGAAGGAGGCACACAGCTGAGGGTCTGTGGAGGCCACAGGGATAGAGAAACTCACAGACAGCCTAATTTCTTTTAGTCTCAGCAGATGCACCCTTGACTTCACAGAAATTCTGGCCTTAGAGCCCTTGCTTTCCTTTGTTTCTACTTCAGTGCATCTCTGGTCCAGTAGCTTCTCAGCCTCCTCTCTAATGTCTTAGGGAAAACCGACCTTCTCTCTCACCAAGGCAAATCCTCCAACTCCTTTATCTCAACTCCACTTCCAACAATTCCCTGGGCTTGTTCTGACAATTATTTCTTTATCTCACTCTTTCTGTCCTCTTTCATTGTCCACCCCCTTCTCTTTATCTGACTTCACTGGCTCCTTCTTTCAATCATCAGAGGTACTCAGGCTCACTACATCTTGAAAACAAACACCAAGCATGGTGGCTCATGCCTGTAATCCCAACACTTTGGGAGGCCAAGGTGGGCAGATCACTTGAGGTCAGGAGTTTGAGACTAGCCTGGCCAACACTGTAAATCCTGTGTCTACTAAAAATACAAAAATTAGCTGAGTGTGGTGGTGCCCTGTAATCCCAGCTACTCAGGAGACTGAGGCAGGAGAATTGCTTGAACCCGGAGGCAAAAGTTATAGTTAATCGAGATCCTACCACCATGCTCCAGCCTGGGAGACAGAGCTAGACTCTGTCTCACAAAATAAAAATATAATAATAATGAAAAGAAAGCAGATAAAATCAGTCTGAATAGAAAGTAAAAAGTTTCTCTTCAAAATTTCCCTTCTTTTTAAAGAATAATAATAAATGTTAGAAATAATCGTTTGTTTTAAAGACTAATTTTCTTCAAAGCCTTCTTGCTTTTTGCTAATAACTCTTTGCTAAGCCCTGTCCTATGTAGCTGTCAGACATGCTCACAGGCACACAGTACATTCTGTGTCCTTATACTTTAAGATATTTATGCTAGACGTGCTCACTAGCATGTCCCAGCTTGCAGCCTATGCTCCTTTCTTATTTAAGAATGTTATTACTTTTCTAAGTCCTTTTGTAAGCCACTTCCTCTTTTCCTTTGTTCTCCATTGCCTTTACCTATTTTTAAAAGTTTTAAGTTGTTGGCCAATCAAGTTTAGTTTAAATTGTGAAGTCTAGCTCCAGCCAACCAAGATCAGACACAGCAGTAAAGACCCAATGCATAAAAAATAAATATGCCTGTCTTTCCTTTGTTCATTGCACTCTCGTAGCAAGATAGCTAACAAGCATACCCTTTCTGTAGAAAGTAAAATTGCCTTGCTAAAAAAACTTTTTGTCTGAATGTTCATTTTTCCTTGCAGTACCTAAAAACAAGCATTCTGTCTCTAACAGTCTGCATTGAAGAATCAGATTAAAGATGTCCTGAGGAACCAAGAATGCGGCGTAAGAGAGGATAAAGACAGGGGTCTGGGTGTTTTTCCTGAGAATGGCTAGCCTATAATCAATCGTTCAATCTCACCTGTTCTTCTCCAAAAGCGTCTGGAATTTGACTTCTCTAATCTGTTCCTATTCACCCTGCCTTAGCCCAGGTCTTCTTCATCTCTTGCACGAACAATGATAAAGCCTTTTAACTAGCTTTTGCCACGACTCTCCCTATCACAATCCCCTCACCACATTGCTGTCAGATTTGTTTTCCAAGAAATAATAGGGTTCCTTTCCCTCTCCTGCTTAAAAATCCCTTTGGCTCTGGAGTATAAAACCAGACCTGTTAGGACTTTATAGCACATCTCCAACTAACACTTCCTATCTCACAGTCTCACTGCTTGCCTCTTTCCCACTATGCAGGCCAGTGTTCTGCCACTCTGAATATCTTACCCTTCGCAGGATTCATGAGAGACTTTCAGACCCCACACCTGGTATGCACTATTACCTTTCTCCATCTGACAAACTCCTATGCATCCTCCAAGATCCAACTAAATGTCATCTCCTAAGTAAAACCTAGCTTGATTCCTTCCAGTCAGAATCAATTGCTCACTTTCTTGTGGTCTTGTGGCATTTTACATCTCTGTTCTAGCACTTACCATACAGCATGATATTGTCATTTTTCTGTTTGCCTGTCTTTCTTAGGTTGTGAGTATATCAGGGAAAGGAACATTTCTGTTTTTATCTTTGTATTCTTGGTGCCTACCTTAGTACCTAGCATGCACTATTATTGCTTTAGGTTGCTAACAAGTGCTCAACCCATAATAGATGTTCAATAAGTGTTTGCTGAATAAAGGAATAGGCAGATGGATAAACTCACAAAAATGATTTGCCTGTATACTTCTAACAGATAGCTAGAAAGTATGAAAGAATATCATTTACAGTGGTAGCAACATCATTGAAAATACTAATTTTGTACTTCTTTTTAAATTTGACAAAAAGTTGGATGGGTACAGTGGCTCACACCTGTAATCCTAGCACTTTGGGAGGCCAAGGTGGGAGGATCACATGAGCCCAGTATTTCAAGACCGGCATGGGCAATGTTGTAAGATCCCATCTCTTAAAAAAAATTAAAATAAAATTGACAAAAATTTTATATGTTTATGGTATACAATATGATGCCTTAAAATATGTATACATTGTAGAATGGCTACATCAAGCTAATTAACACATGCATTACCTCACATACCAATTTTTTTTAATGGCAAGAACTTAAAATGTACTCTCGTTTATATTTCATCATTTATAAAATGTACTACTATTTTTATATGCTAAGAAAGAAAAACGCTGCCAATTAAAGACTTGAACAGGCACTTCACAAAAGAGACTATTCAGTGGCCAGAGAAAGCTGAAAAGGTACACAAGTTCCTTAGCCATTAGGGAAATACAAAGCAAAGCTACAATGTGATAATACTACACACATATAATGGACACAGTGAAAAAAGACACGCTCTCATGACACTGCCAGGGGAGTAAAATTTGGTACAGATATGTTTAGCATCTGTTAAAGCTATATAAACCTATACATACTGTATGGCATAGCAGTTCCACTCCAAGGTATTTACTCAATAGAAAGGTGTATTTATCTTTACTAAAAGACATGCACAAAAATGTTCATAGCTGTGCTGTCCATAATAGCAAAGGAGTAGAAACTACTAAAATTCTGATGCACAGTAAAATGAGCAGATAAACTGTGGTAGATTCTTACAATGAAATACTATACAGCAATTAAAAATGTACAAAGTACAATACATGCAATAATATGGAAGAATCTCCAAAACACAATGTCAAACAAAAGAGGCCAAACACAAGAGTATATATATGGTATGTTTTCATTTAAATTATAAATTAGACTTCCCATATAAAGTCCAAACACAGGCAAAATTAATCTAAGATGCTAGAAGTCAGGATAATGATTAACCTTAGGGAGGCTGAATGAAAGGAAACATAAAATGGTTCTTGGGTACTGATAATGTTTTGGTTCTTCATCTAGGTGATGGTCATATGGGTATATTCACTTTGTGAAAATTCATTAAGGCTTACGTTTATTTTTGTATGCATGCTTTGCTTTATTAAAAATTACAATAAAAAGGCAAAAAAAAAAACTTCACCAGTTAAACTATGGCATACAGTCTTAATAATAATAATAATAAAATAAAATTTGACAAAAAATATTTATAATATATATACTTTTGAGACGCTTTCTCACTGTTGCCCAGGCTGGAGTGCAGTGGCATGATCTCAGCTCACTGCAACCTCTGCCTCCCAGGTTCAAGCAGTTCTCCTGCCTCAGCCTCCCGAGTAGCTGGAACAATACGCGCCCACCACCATGCCTGGCTAATTTTTGTATTTTTAGTAGAGACAGGATTTCATCATGTTGACCAGGCTGGTCTCAAACTCCTGACCTCAAGTGATCCGCCTGCCTCGGCTCCCAAAATGCTGGGATTACAGGCATAAGCCACTGTACCCAGCCCCAAGGAATATTTTTTAAACGAAAAACTAATGCAAATACGTGACCTATCAAGTTTTAATGTACGTTGTAAACAATTATATGTGTGTTAAGTACTCAGAACGTTGTCAATGAAACAAAAGATTCAAAAATAGATCCAAATTATCACATTAACTTAATAAAGTTGAAGCAACATCAGAATAGAGAGAAAACTCACAGTTTAATAACTATTGCTGGAAAAGTGGATACCAGTATGGAAAAGCATCAGCTTAGAGCTACATGTCATATTACTCCCTACAAAGAACCCCACATCAGCAGAGTTAATCAAACAAAAGAACAAGAAGAAAAAGAAATAGCATACTTAAAAATCAATACAGAAACAAAACAGAATTGAAAAATGTACACATGAAAATATTACAGATAAAGTCTGTTATCTAGATTATATACATAACTTATTGACATGTATTTATTGAATTTTGAATGTTATGGTACATAACACATACTATGGATAAAACATTGTTTCCAGTGTTATAGGAGACAAAAGGATGAAATAGACATTGATCTTGCCCTCAGTGTATTTACGGTCCAGTTTAGGGGATATAATATACATGTAAGTCTATAACAAAATGTCAAAAGCTTAAAGTGTTATAAGAGTGGATCAGATAGAATGTTATGGAAGTTTGGAGGAAGAAGGGACCTCTTAGGACTGGGGCCAGTGAGGTTGAGGTGACGAGAGGCAGCATCAGGGACAGTTTCATGGACATGATTGCTCTTGAGTTGAGCCTTAAAAGATGTGTTGTATTTGGGCACAAAGACATAAAATGAAGACAGTATACTCAGAAGCAATGATGTAATGACACGCATGACATGGAGGCAGGAAACTGAGGATTACATATAAGAAACGGTTGATAGTTGCCTTTCACTAGAGCATAGTGTGGCATTAGAAAGGGAATTGTAAGAGTTAATGTTGGAAAGTCATGTTGGATACAGATCCTGGTTGGGAGGCAGAGGTTGTGGGGAGAATTAAATACTAGGCTGTGGAGGTGGGCTTCGTTCAGGAGCAAGTGGGGAGCCACAGAGATTTGTGAATAAGGGAGTTCAGGCATACTTCAGTCAGTTTTGGTAGAAGCTATACAGGGTAGGTTGGCAGGAGGTAGGGAAAACTAGAAACAAGAAATCTATGTGGGTTCTATTTGAGTTGGTCAGGAGAAAGGAAATGAGGTTCAAAATCCAGACCTTACTTTAGTTGATAAAGAAAAGTAGCCAGGGCATGGTGGTTCACACCTGTAATCTCAGCACTTTGGGAGGCCAAGGTGGGCAGATCATCTGAGGTCAGTTTAAGACCGGCCTGGCCACCATGGTGAAAACCCATCTCTACTAAAAATACAAAAAAAATTAGCTAGGCCGGGCGCGGTGGCTCAAGCCTGTAATCCCAGCACTTTGGGAGGCCGAGGCGGGTGGATCACGAGGTCAAGAGATCGAGACCATCCTGGTCAACATGGTGAAACCCCGTCTCTACTAAAAATACAAAAACATTAGCTGGGCATGGTGGTGCGTGCCTGTAATCCCAGCTACTCAGGAGGCTGAGGCAGGAGAATTGCCTGAACCCAGGAGGCGGAGGTTGCGGTGAGCCGAGATCGCGCCATTGCACTCCAGCCTGGGTAACAAGAGCGAAACTCCGTCTAAAAAAAAAAAAAAAAAATTAGCTGAGTGTGGTGGCATGTACCTGTAATCCTTGCTACTCAGGAGGCTGAGACAGGAGACTCGCTTGAACCCAAGAGGTGGAGGTTGCATTGATCACACCACTGCACTCCAGCCTGGGTGACAGATCGAATTTCTGTTTCAAAATAGAAAAGAACATCATATACAGAAATATGGAAAATAAGGCAAATGGAAGAAAATTTGTAGCTTTACAAGAATTTAAAGAAATGCAAGTTAAGGTCAGGTACATGGCTCACACCTGTAATTCAGCACTTTGGGAGGCTGAGACAGGAGGATTGTTTGGGCCCAGGAATTCAAGACCAGCCTGGGTAACAAAGTAAGACCCCATTTCTCAAAAAATTAAAATAAATGCAGGTTAGAACCTTAAGTCATGATTTTGTATCTATGTAACTAGTTAGTATTGTTTATATGAGAAAATATAAAGTTGATGAGACTTGAAGGGAACTGGACACATTACATATCAGAGTAATTTAGTGTCAACAACAGTCTGGCAAAAAAAAAAAAAAAAAAAAAAAAAAAAAAACCAAGATCTTTTCAGCTAAGTACTAATCTTATCCTTGTTTTACAGGGTGAAAACTGAGGCTCGGAGAGGGTAGATAACTTGCCCGAAATCTGGTAAGTGGTAAGAGTCAGTGGTGCAGGGGAAGCTGGCCTGCACTGGCTTGAGAGAGCTGATTGTTACATTTTCAGGAATTGTGCAAGCCATTACTAGAAATTTAAACTATACAAATGTGTAATTAAATTACATTAAAGACGAAGATAATAACTACTCAAAGCTTATCACTTTCTGATTATTTTTCTACATTTTACTGTTATGTAAGCTTATGAGGTTATTCATGTCTGCTTTGTATGTATGGTGGAAATTTTATATAGTGATGTGCTCTTGTACATCTTTTCCCAACTCCTTGCTCAATGACATCCCTTTGGTAACTTGAAATCAGCCATGTTGAGAGTTTTTACATTACAGGCAAATACTACAAATCAGGTCTTAATTTATTATTTAATTTAGACTAAGGATTAGCAAGCTATGGTCTGTGGGCCAAGTCCATCTCACCTTCTTTTTAAAATTTAAGTTTTATCAAAACATGCCCATGCTCATTTGTTTAGTATCACCTGTTACTGCTTTCCTATGAAAATGGTAGAGTTTGGTAATTGCAAGAGACCATGTAAACCACAAAACCCATAATATTTACCACCTTGTCTTTTACAGGAAAAGTTTGCTAACCCCTTCTCTTACTCCTCATTAAGGTGAGCAAAAATATTAACCAACATTCATTGCAAAACTACACTTGGAGAGCCAGTTCTTTTTTCTTCTTTTTTTTTTTTTTTTTTTTTTGAGACAGGGTCTCACTGTCCCCCAGGCTGGAGTACAGTGGCACTATCATGGCTCATTGCAGCCTTAACCTCCTGGGCTCAAGTGATCCTCCCACATCACCCTCCTAGAGTAGCTGGAACTACAGGCACGCACCACCACGTCCTGCTAATTTTTAAAAATTTTTGTAGAGGCAGGTCTCATTATGTTGCTCAGGCTGGTCTTGAATTCCTGGGCTCAAGTGATCCTCTCACCTCAGCCTCCCAAAGTGCTGGGATTACAGGCATGAGCCACTAGCCCAGTGGAGAGTCAATTCTTAAACATTTACTAGCATACCACTGTTCAAATATAGACCCAAGCAGTGTGACTCACCTGATTAATGGCCACACTGCTAAGCAAAATATGAAGTATCATGTAAACATGAAAAACCTACAGAGTTTACTGCCAATTCAGCATATATATGTTATGTATATGTATATGTATATATATGACATAATATAAAAATTTTTAGAGATAAGCAAATTGTGAAGAAAACAATTAAAAATTTTAAGAAGTTAGGTCGGGTGTGGTTGCTCTCACCTGTAATCCCAGCGCTATGGAAGACCTAAGCGGGTGGATCATGAGGTCAGGAGATCAAGACCATCCTGGCTAACACATTGAAACCCTGTCTGTACTAAAATTACAAAAAATTAGCTGGGTGTGGTAGCATGCGCCTGTAGTCTCAGCCACTTGGGCGGGTGAGGCAGGAGAATTGCTTGAACCTGGGAGGCAGAGGTTGCAATGAGCTGAGATCATGCCACTGCACTCCAGGCTGGGAGACAGAGCAAGACACTGCCTCAAAAAAAAAAAAAATCTAAGAAGTCACTGAAGGCCAGGTGCAGTGGCTCACGCCTGTAATCCCAGCACTTTGGGAGGCCGAGGTGGGCAGATCACGAGGTCAAGAGATCGAGACCATCCTGGCCAACGTGGTGAAACCCCGTCTCTACTAAAAATACAAAAATTAGCCAGGCATGGTGGCACACACCTGTGGTCCCAACTACTCGGGAGGCAGAGGCAGAATAATCGCTTGAACCCAGGAGGCGGAGGTTGCAGTGAGCCAAGATTGTGCCACTGCACTCCAGTCTGGAGACAGAGCAAGAGTCCATCTCAAAAAAAAAAAAAGAAGTCACCGAAATTACTTTGAAAAATAAAGAGAAGAAAACAAACAAAAATAATATTTTGTTTGGAAGCTGCTCTGGGTCATCTCCATATATAGTCATGTGTTACTTAACAACAAGGATACATTCTGAGAAATGCATCATTAGCCAGTTTCATAATTATTCGAACATCTTAGAGCATACTTAGCAAATCTAGAGTTATAGCCCATGACACATCCAGGGTATACGGTGGGTCCTATTACTCTTAGGCTACAAACTTGTTCTGCGTGTTTCTGTACTTAATACTGTAGGCAATTGTAGCACAATGGTAAGTATTTGTATATCTAAACATAACTAAACATAGAAAAGGTACAGTAAAAGTACAGTATTATAATCTTACAGGATCACCATTGTGTAATGATATACACCATTGATATACACGATTATACACCATTCTGTAATGTAGTCCATCATTGACTGAAACATCGTTATGTGGCTCATGACCGTATTCCCTTTAGAAGCTATCCAATATCCTCTTCTCAGCTTTTAGTTTATGACTTCTGCTCTGCACTCTTTTATAAATACCCACTCTTTTCCAGACCATGGAACATCGCTTCCTTCCATCTGATCTATTTTCCCCAAACAGTTTTCTTTGACATTACTTCTGGGACCAGATCCATGAACAAATTCAAAGATTGTTCTCATTCCTCTTTCCTTGACCCCTGTTCACATAGCACTGTGGACTGTACCTTCTTCATTCTTGAGACTTTTCTCTTATGACTTCCAAGACGTTGTCCTTTTCTACTTTCTTTATTACCCTTATATAGGTCCTTCTGTGTTTTCTCCCAGGTTTCCCTTCCCCTCCACCATTCCCAAATCTGAGTATTCCAGAAGAGTTATTTGTTTTAATGATATAGTAAATGAATTCCTTTTTCTTTTTTTTTTTTTTTTGAGACAGAGTCTTACTCTGGCACCCAGGCTAGAGTGCAGTGGTGTGATCTCAGCTCACTGCAACCTCCACCTCCCGGGTTCAAGTGTTTCTCCTGCCTCAGCCTCCTGAGTAGCTGGGATTATAGGCACACATTACCATGACTGGGTAATTTTTCTGTTTTTAGTAGAGATGGGGTTTCACCATGTTGGTCAGGCTGGTCTTGAAGTCTTGACTTCATGATGTGCTCACCTTGGCCTCCCAGAGTGCTAGGATTACAGGCATGGCACCCAGCCGATAAATTAATTTCTAAGCCTCAATTTTCTAACTTGAAGAAAGGGATTAAAATGAATACCTACCTATTGTTATGAAAATAAATGTGTTACATAAAGCAATCTGCAAAATAGTAAGTATATACTCAAAAAACTGTTAGCCATTATTATCACTACCATTGTTATTTTTGTTTTCAACCAACACTGATATGCTGAACTCCTGTTGTTTATGGCACAGGTTTAGTAAAAATTAATTACTATATATGTGCATATATATATTTATATATATATATATGCATGATTGTAACATATATATATGTTACAACCACTCCACCTTACCATGTGCATATATATATAGATATCTAGATAGATAGATAGATAGATAGATAGATATGCACATGGTAAAGTGGAGTGGTTGTAACAAGACCACAAGCTGCCTGAAGGGGCAGCCCACCCTAGGCCCTTTCCTAATTGAACTAGATTCCGAAACAACAATACCTCTGGTGAGTGGGAGGGCCCAGTCCATCCCCCAGGCTGTATCCTTGTGCATCAGTCCTCTTGCTTCCCTCAGGCTCTACTTCTGTTTCCTATAAGCACAGGCAGAGTTGAGATCAGTCATGGGGCCCTGCCAGGGATGATGGGGATTGAGAGCAGCCAAAGACCCTACAGGGGCCCATGCAGCAGCCCACAGCTCTGCAAAGAGAAACTAAACTGGTGAATTACCATGAGCTCCAGCCCCGGGTTCTCTGTGCCAGTCTCCATTGTGGACGGAGCAATGGACTCTCTTCCACTTGCTTTCTCCATCTCCTGTTCTCCTCAACTGAAAAACAAATTAAGGGCCAAGCCTGAAAGATTGGTCATTCTGTCCTGTGGGGATGGGGAGAATTTTTAGGACCAGTTATCCCTGGAAAACACAAAACTAAAAGTCTTTGAAAGCTTAGTTGATTTCTTTAAGAACTGAGAATTGAGAAGATTGGATACATCATTTTGATTTAATAAATAATGAAAAATCAAATCCTATTTCTTCTTGTGAATAGCTAAAGAAGGGGAAATAAGACAGGAGAAGAGAAATGAAAGGCAGGGAAATTGAAATGAATCAATTCCCCACCCAGGGCCCCAGGATCTGGTCTATAAAGGTTCCTACATGGATCCTCAAAGAGTCATAAGGTAACTCCTTTTAGCCCTGGGGAGGCCCCGCTGAACGTGCTGAGTAAAAAGGAAACAGGGAGAAGGGAGTTGGGAAGAGCCAGACCCTAAAATATTGCTGAACAGACAAAGATTAATAGGCCTTCAAGTTCCTGACTGTAATATAGCATAAGAATTGTTTTTTATGCCCCAGAGAACTCCTTATCAGTTAAATTAAGGAAACTTACATTTAAAATAATTAGTATGAATGTAAATGATCCCAAATAAAGTTTTAAACAAAATAAGCAAACATTCGGGCCACAGAACAAGCAAACTTAATACATAGACATTCACAATTAGAGTATAAGTTCATTCTGAGATGCTTCTTTACTTTGCAGAAAATTCCCTTCCCTGTAGAATTGCTTTTAAAAATGTGATCTCTTTAAGCATTTAAAGTATGATTTCATTCAACTTTTATTGCGTAAATTAGGGCCTTCCTGACTAGGTACAGAACCACCTGCATTTAGATTAAATATGATCTCTTTAAAAATTTGGAAATTAGGCACCTGCCCTCCCCAAACACCTTTGCTTACCCCACCTTGTGGAATTGATTCCCTTTGGCTCCTCAGTGAAGGACTGAAAGAAAAGCTCAGCTGCAAGGGAGGAGGGACAGCTTGGGTGGGGCATGGGGGCTTTCCGGCCATTGGTTGGTTTTATGTCTTGGGCCCTCCTTTGCTGAGCCTGCCCTCACTGTAGAGGAGGACTACACCTCTCAAGTTAAATATTATATGTTTTTAAGACGATTTTGCAGGACTAAGACTTCTGCAGAGGTGGTGCCCGCCTGTAATCCCAACACTTCGGGAGGCTGAGGCGGGTGGATTGCTTGAGCCCAGGAGTTTGAGACCAGCCTGTGTAACATGACGAAACCCTGTCTCTACAACAAATACAAAAATTAGCTAGGTGTGGTGGTCCCAGCTACCCGGAAGG